CTCCACAAAATTATTAAAAATGTACCAAATATTGTACGCAAAAGAGAATACAACTCTGTGTTGTGTTGTCTCTGTGCCACAGAGATGACGTTTGCAATATGACAATGACTATCGATTGTTTGCAGTAATCGATAATGGCTGACGACAATGGGCGTTAAATTCAGTTGTCAATTAAAATAAAAAATTAATAAATTAATTACATAAAAAAAACAATTTAAAAAATATATATAAAGTAAAAAAATAAAAAAAATTATAGCATTTAAAAATAAATAATATATAACAAATAATAGAAAATAAAAATAAATACAAATTATTTTTAAATTTTATGGTTCTGCGTGAACCATCAGCTGGTTCGCTTTTATATGCCTTCTGGGCTGGAGCATCTTCATCCATTCTCAAAACATGACCTAGCCAAAGTAGACGCTGCAGCTAAATAGTCTAACAATATCGATGTCCGAGAATAGTTGGTACAACTCATGGTTCATTCGACGGCGATATTCACCGTCAACGCAGATCGGCCCATAGATCTTTCGGAGAATTTTTCTTTCAAACACTCCAAGAGCTGCCTCATCTACTTGCGCAAGTACCCATACTTCAGATCCATATAACAGCACGGGTAGTATCAGCGTCTTGTAGAGTATTAGTTTGGTCTGGCGGGAGGTGGGCTTGCTTTTAAGTTGTTTGCTCAGACCATAGTAGCATCTGTTGGCCAACACTATCCTTCTCCGAATTTCAAAACTTATATCATTCGTTTTGTTTATGGCGGTACCAAGGTATATAAAAATCTTTGACTACCTCGAAGCAGTAATTCTCAAGTTTCACAGTTGGTCCGAGTCTACTGGACGTCTTGCGCGCTGATACCATCAGCTCGCCATTTACTGTCAGACCCACTTTGTCAGACTCCTTCTCAATTTGTTCAAAGGTGGCTGTTACCGTTTTCAATGTTCGACCCATTATGTCGATGTCGTCGGCGTAGGCGAGTAACATATGCTGTTTGGTAGAAAGAACCATTTCTGTACACATTTGCATCAAGTATGACCGTTTCAAGAAGGATGTTAAAAATGTCACACGACAAACTGTCACCTTGTCTGAATCCTCATTCGGTATTGAAGGTCATTTCCGACTTTAAATGCTGATCTTGTGCCAGTTAAATTTATCCTGCATAGCCGTATACACTCTATACCATCATCTCTTATTGGTTCTGGGGTATCCTCTTCACCTCCACTATTTGATACCAGAAGCTTTCAAAATGCTCCTTCCAGATCCTCAGCACGCTGTATGTATCTGTCACCAGGTTTCCTCCTTTATCTCTACAGGAGGATGTGTCTGCACCAAAGCCTTCGGTTTGGTGTTTTACCCGTTGGTAGAATTTTCGGACTTCATTCTGACTCCTGTACATCTCGATTTGCTCACGCTCAAGTTTTTCTTGTTCTTTCTTATGAGACTGATGTAGAAAAACTTCGCATTTATACGGATTATAGCAATTCGCTCATTTGCTGGAGTGAATCTGGAGACGAGGTCTTTTATTCTCCTGTTAACCATAAATCCGCTGATTTACTTACGTCATCTGATTTACTTACGCCAGTCTCTTTTCATCGCATTTCCTGTAAGGCAATAATATAGGCTTTGTACTTCTTGAGTACATCCGCCAGAGTGAACACTGCGCCTGTTCAGTACAACGTGCGCACATTTCAAATGCAGATTCGCAGATCGTGGTCCTTTATACGTTTGCGGGGGTCGTCAACATTAGGTGTGTTTGGTTTTCTTTTTCTTTGTTTTTCATAGTAGGTTCGGTTTTCCGAGTGTGGGCAACTAACGCGTCGGGTTAACCAATTTTTTATAGTTCTTATGGGCGAACTCGCGGCACATATTAGCTCACTATTTTATCGGGTGATGAAAATAGATACCTCAGGTGGTTTTTTTTAAATATTTTTAAGGCACCCTAACGAATTTTTAAAGAATATTATTTGGAAACCCTAAAAAGGCTTGGTTTCTTTTTAATATTTTTTGAGGCCTTTATAAAGGCGCGGATTTTTTAAAAATATGTTTTGGAAGCCCTAATAAAGGCCTAGATTCATTGAAAATATTTTTTCTCCATTTTTAAAGCAGTTTTCTGTTATTTTGTCATGTCTAAACAACAGATGGGGTATGTTCAGTGTGTGCACAACAGATGGTGTATGTTCAGTGTGTGCGCACACAGCTGTTAAGCACACATCAACGATACTATCGATAGCACATTGCAAATGCAAGCTCGGCAAAATATCGATAAAACTATCGACATGTTTATCAACTCTAGCAAAGCAATATCAAAAGAATAGAAGAACCCCAAAAGACAAAAGCAGACTTTATTTAACTAATTCCAAAATTTCGAATATTTTGGCAATCAAATTCCGGTTAATTAATAAAAATACAAACAACAACAAGTCGTTTTCACAACAAAGGAAAATTCCTCATACTCGGGACAACAATACAAAGAAAATCTAGTGTGGCTGCAAAACTATATTTTCCAGTCAAAAGAGGAGGAGGAAGAAGAAGACGAACAAGCAACCACAATAAAAACAACAACAATACAAAAAAGAACAACAACTATTCGTTATTGACAGCAGTGAGCTAAGCAATAATAAATAAATAGAAGACGTCAACCTCTGGCCCCTCGCTTTATTGGTTGGGTGCGGTGCCTGGTGTCTTTCGAGTCCAGGGAAATTTTACAGCGTGTTGGATCAAGCACAGATTTGATTTAGTGGTTGACAGCAACCCCAAATTTACAACATTAAAAACACACCACCCCTCTCTCCACAAAAATGTCAGTAACCGATTTCATTAAGGGCCTACCCTGCCACAATGCTGAGAATTTCTCGCAATTCAATACCGAGCATGCTATGCGTACCTCACAAAAACGACCTTCCGTTTATCTGCCCACAGACGATTGTCCCTCGGAACAGCATATAGTGCTGGACAAACGATCGGTACTGCTGCGCTATTTGACCCAGCAATGGGATAAGAAGATACTACCCAAGAAACGTGATCATGCCAATGAGGGTAATGCGAACAATAGTGGTGGTGGTGCGGGTAATAATTGTAAAAAGCGTCCACGTCTGGAGGCGGAATAAATGCAGAACCGAATAACAAAAAACCCACATAGTAGAAGAAAATGAGACTTAATTTGTATTTATGCTGTTTGGGGGGAGGCGAATGATGATGATGGAGATAAAGCTGGAACTGGAAAAAAAAAAATTATTGCTGGCCGTGATGAAAAAATAGATTTTTTGAAGTCATACAAATAATACACTCCCGCATATGAAACATATACAAACATACAAAATTAAATTATTTTAATTTTTTTTCGCCCTGTAACGTTCAGGGGCGTGTGTGAAACCGTAGATTGGTTTGGCCATGATGACAGGAGACCTACTCTTTTATTGTGTACCGGCTATACTCAGTCGTCCACACACGGCTACGTACAAAAAATTCATATGTCACAAAGAAAATACCATCGATTAAGTTTGTTGCTGTTGCGGACTCAAAATATTGTTGTTGTTGTGGTTGGTACCCCTAGATGACAATGGGTACCTCTTATCCCTCCCATGGGTTCTGTAAGAACCCCCATATGGGCTTCAAAACATTTGAAGACCCCCAAATTCTGTCGGCTGTACCTTAACCCTGTTTACATATCCTTTTTAAATTAATTAACTAGAACACATTTTATTTTCTTTTAAATTCATTATTCAAATTCATATTCATTTTAAGAATAAACAATTTCTACTTAAAGATTATACTTAGATTTACTTAAATCTAATTATATCCATAAGTGGAATCAAAATCTATACAATTAAAAAAAACAAAGAAAAAGGCACAATTTAATCAGCAGGATACATACAAAAATTATTAATTTAAATTTTTGTTTGTCAATCCCATTTCGGTGCCAATATGCACTAAATTAATAATCCAAATAATACCTAACACCTATTGAGCTCAAAGGGGTTATTATATAGTCATTTTAATTAATAAGGGCTGATTTTGTTTTTCTCAACTAATGGGATTAACAACTAACAATATTGACTCTAAATGATGATAAAAAAAAATGAAATATTTGTATATTTATATAAATTTATATTGATTTATATATATACAAATGCATATGCTCATATATATATATATATATACTCATATATATGTATGCCTATATATATGTATATATGTTCTTATATATATATAATGTTCTTATACCTATAGACGTATTTTTAAAGAAATAAAAAAAAGGAAATTATGTACATATGAATAGATTTTTTAAATTTGTACATTGGTACAGGCTCATATAATTTTTAAAAACAATTTAAAATTATTTGAATTGCAACAAAAAAAACAAGAATTTTGGAATTTGTCCATAAGAAACAACAAAATAATTGAGAAATATCTCGGCTGACCGTCGAGGAACTTTAAAAAAACTGGGTCCACACCATCCCGTCTGTGACTGGAGGTGATGGCTACCCTTGCTCTGATCAGCTTCAAATATTCACGGGCTATTGTTGACGTACTTACTCCGTTTCTTCTTTACAGCACGTTGGATTTAAAGCTTACGATTTTGTTGAACGCTGGCAATGCGGTATTGTTGAAAATTGAAAGAATTTTGGTGATCAATAATTTTGGGTAGTGTGTTGAACGATGGTCTTGATAGTCGCTTCCAAAAGATTCACTATTGGCCAAAATGTTGAAAATTGATATGTATGAGATGTTGGGGTTATATGCCCGGAGTACTGGAAGCCTGATAAAATTTGCCTTAATATCCACAAAAGCACACGAAAAATCCAGACTATTAGCAAAGCCAGCAATCCGGCTCTGGAACGTTGTGCCGTGTAAAGGAATTGTAAAAAAAACAAACAGAATTGTTGATGGAGTAATCCTTAGGGTTCAATATCGCCAATGGAATATCACCAAGCACGTGTTGTTCACGTTGGTAACGTGTACCCAGCATACGTATATTGCTGTGCGGTACCGTTAACCAACGGGACTTCTAGAAAAAGAACCAAAAATTTGGTGTGAATTTTTGTTTAAAATTTTCACAATTCTTTTTAAAAGCTCACCTTAATAGAAAAATTTCCTTAAGAAATTGAACGTGTTTTGAACACTTCACAATGAAACTTAATGATAAGCAATTCACAATTTCGATTGTGCAAAATTGTCTTTATGCACTTTTTTTTACTATTGCAATGACTGCAATCACTATACACTTTTTTTTACTTTTCTCTGACTGGTGTTCGTGTTGCTCCTTCGGATATTTTTTTGCAATGAAGCAATTTTGAAGGTGGCTGCAATGCGCCAATTACGAATTGTCAAAAATGACAAACAAAGAAAATGACAAACGCTGTCAGGGCTACCAACGTCTGCGCTCAATGACGACGTTTTTTTACGCCGTCGCTTGCGCCGTCGGGTTATGGTAGGTTAACACAACAAACCCGAACAGTCTACGAAGACCAGTCGGAGTAACGCTGATTCGGGACGTTAACCTTTCTCAAAATCTGAAGTGGGGAAGAACCGCGACCCTAATACAATTCAACAACAGCCGGGCAACTATTTCATGGGAACTATATGTTGGAGGTCTTTCGAGTGATAGACCCCTATGTTACGTCCTTGCAGATCCTCGATTTCATAAAGTGAGGTCCCTACCTTTTTGACTACCCTACATTTGACGAACTTCCGACAAAGCTTTGAATTAAGATGGCGGGCTGCGTCACTTAATACAAAGTTGCGTCGAAGTATTTCCTGTCCGGGCTTGAAGCTAACTTCACGTGATCTAGTGTTATAACGTGCCGCTGACCTTTCGTAAGAATCGTGGAGTTTTTCTTTAATCGTGTCTCTGATTAGATCGTGTATGTTGTGTTTCGGGATAATTTCAACCGATCCGTCTTCTAATGTGCCTAGTTTACTCGCTAAGGTATACGCGCTACCGTGTGTGATCATATGTGTTCCGAAAAGTGAGAAATACGGTGAACATCCTATGGATGTATGGATTGTGGATCGAAGTGAACACTCAATCGCAGATAAATATCGGTCCCAATCCTTCTGATCCTCGGATACATAAGTTCGAATCGCCGCAATAATTGTTCGGTTGACTCTCTCCGATGCATTCGCCTGTGGAGAATACACCGCGTTTCGGATCTGAGTACATCCGTACCGATCTAAAAATGAAGTGAATTCGGAAGAAATGAACTGTTTTCCGTTGTCAGAATGGACGGTTTGTGGTACTCCAAATTTATGGAAAACTTCACTTTCCAAAAATCGAATGACGTTTCGAGAGTTTGCTTTCGCTAAAGGCTTTAAAAGAACGAACTTTGTTAAGTGATCTAATACGATAAAGACGTATGCGTTACCTAACTTAGACCTCGGGAAGGGTCCTATAAAATCAATGAAAATTTTCTGAAAAGGTCTATCAGTGACGGTCTCGTTTCCCATTTTCGGTCGTAACACCTTGTTTGGAGCTTTCGTTTCTTTACACAAAACACATGAGTTTATATAATCGCGAATTTGCTTTGCCATTTTCGGCCAATAAAAATATTGTCGAAGTGCCGCTATAGTTCTACCAATACCACAGTGACTTTTAACTATTGATTTGTGAGCATTTTCTATCAGTGATTCGGTCAATTCGGATGGAACCCAAAGTTTCCAAATGAAATTTTCATGCACCGGTGTGCCATCAGACGGAAGTGTCTTTTTATAAACGAATGAATCTGAAATTTTTAAATCGGGAAGACTGTCTTGGTTCTCACGCACCATTTCAACCAACTGTGTATATTCTTCATTCTTGAATTCGGGCGAGTCTAAATCAATCAAAGGTTTTTCATCAGTGAACATGTTGATTTCATCCATGTGTAAGCGGGATAAAGTGTCAGCAACTACATTTTGCGACCCCTTACGATGCTGAATATCGAAATTAAAAGCCTGTAGTTTTAAACTCCACCTCGCTAAACGACCGCTGAGATCTTTCTGTCCCATCAGCCATTTCAACGCACTATGATCAGTAACAACAGTAAACGGCATCATCTCAATATATGGACGGAATTTCTTTATTGCACTGATCACGGCTAAGCACTCTCGCTCAGTGACACTATAGTTTCTTTCGGCTTTTGTCAACTGGGCGGAATGAAAGGCGATGGGACGTTCCAAGCCTTCAGCGTCTAGTTGGAACAACACTGCGCCTAACCCTAAATTGGAGGCGTCACACTGGACATAAAATCTTTTGTCGAAAACTGGATGATTCAATACAGGACTTGTAGTCAAAGCTACTTTTAATTTGTTAAAAGCCTCGATAGCATTTTGATCGAAAGAAAAAACTTTGCCCTTTTTCAAGGTGCTGGTTAAGGCAGCTGTAATCTCAGCATAATCTTTAATAAATCGCCTGAACCAAGAAGCCATCCCTAGAAACCTACGAACGTCTCTAGTGGACTTCGGAATCGGAATGTCAGTGATTGAGTTAATTTTGGATGGATCTGGCTTTAATTTGCCTTCGCCAACTATATACCCCAAATATTTAAGTTCTCTGCGGCAAAATTTAGACTTTTTCAAATTGATGGTCAGGTTCGCTCTGGACAACATTTCACCTACCTTACGAAGCAGTTCGATATGTGAATCAAAATCTGGGGAGACTGCTAGCAAGTCATCGAGGTATACGAAAACTTTGTTCTTCAGTTCCGGTGAGATCACTCTATCCATTAACCGACATAACCGTTGGGCTGCATTGCATAACCCAAACGGCATGACAGTGAATTGATAGTGTGGTCTCCCCGGCACTGTGAACGCAGTCTTCGGACGGCTTTCTGCTGCCAGAGGGACCTGCCAGAATGCATCCTTCAGATCTATGCTCGATATATAATATGTGTCTTGAAGTCGACCTAACAAAGCATCTATAAATGGTAGCGGGTATGCATCTTTCACTGTGACTTCATTCAACTTACGGGCGTCTAAACATAGTCGATTTTTTTCGCCTCTACGCACTAAGGTGACTGGAGAATTCCATGGGCTTGTACTTGGTTCAATAACACCTAGACTCAGCATGCGATCAAGTTCCTGATATATAAGAGTTTCGACAGCTGGAGAAACAGGATAATGTCGCTGC